GCTTTAGCCATCAAGATTGTTGCCTTGCCCATGAATCAAACGATACGTCGTTCAGGACTCGACGTCGCGGCTGCTCCTCGTAGACAAGACGTTGCAGGAGTTCGACGATGTTTTCGACAGGCAATTCCTCAATCATCGTATTTCTGATTGGCTGGTGGTCGTTGCATTTAATGATGTGTCTAAGCCAAATCATAGGGCTAAAAAATACGGAAACCACTGACGAATATCGACCAACCTGAAATTTCCAGATCTCCAAATTTATGCAAGAAAATTTCGTAAATATGATTCGGAAGCAGCGTCGTCACCTTCAAGTGATTTCCGTCCATCGCCGGTACCACATTCTTCACTGCGGCCGTCCGGTAAAGGTAGCTGCAAATTGGCACGACAAAGTTAACTAACAAACAAGACAAACTTTCGATTTTAGTTTTTGGTCTTTACCTCAGCTGAGGCCCGCCCATTGGAACTCGAAACGTTTTACTCAAGTAACCCAACGAATATAACAGACGCTGTTCGATCACTGATCTGAGTTGAGCCATCCCTTCATTCGTGCGGCAGGATACCACAGCACAGTTTAACGGTCTGTTTGGCAGCGTCTTTTGCATCCTAAGCAAAAGGCAAATATACAGAAGATTGGTTACCAATGTTCTGCACTCACTCCTCACTAACGAGGTCTATTTTATTCCACACCGTGATCATGTTTTTTTTCAGCTCAGAGGATAAGTTCAACCGATCGAGAACTTTTTCCGTGACCTCGTTCTGGCGCTTCAATCCTCTGCTGCTGATGTCTTGAACGTGCAAAATCAAATCCTGTAAACAAACAGCAGGAGACTACGGGAAAGGTTACATTAAGTTAAGAAATAAAAAATGTCTTATGGCGACTTCAAGCATCAACACAAAAGTATAGATTTACATATCGACTATCAGGATTCTATGAACACCAACAAAACAACTAAAAGAACTTGATCAATATAGCAGGGAAAAGAATTAAACAACAATAAACAACAACGAGTAACCACGGAGGAATGGAACGTCGTTGCTGCTGTCGATTAGTCACAAAACACCTTTCGTTTTCATGAAAAAGCCGAAGCTATTTTCTGATCAATACGCCTTGAACAGAAAATAGTATTTGTTTACGAAAAATGAAAGCAGTGCGGCTTTTCCGTGGTTTCAAATTTTCACCAGTATCGCAGATTCAAACATTGCAGTGCCGCAATGACGGCTGCCAACCGATATTCAGCGAGATTAGGACAGGACAACAACTTGCAGCAGTGTCATCTATTTTCTACTGCCTCATGTCGACCCCCAAAAGTCGTGACCTATCTTTCGGCCTAGACTTAAGATCGTTATTGTTCACGGGGTAGACGGCAAGATGAACACATGATCATGCGTTACTTCCAAAAAATATACTTCTTTGAAGTTTGCATTTGCATTCACAGGAATGATCGTGATTAAGAATTACAGTATTTCGGGGACAAAAGCACAGACGGGTGAAAACTCTTTTCAGCTCCTTCCCATCCACTGTACAACAGACTAGTCGTCTGTTAGTTAAGAAACCACAACACTCAATCAAATCTCGAGTTTACTTCAGCATGAACTAAATGCACGATACGTCAGTGGCCTCTACTATCATTACCTCATCTGTCGACTCAGTAGCATTAAGAAAGAACTTGCGTCACATTTTCTACCGATTATTGAAAATCCCTGAAAGTACAGCATTTCTGTGGTCATGTACTTATTCGTCAAGTCTTGTACAACACATCCGATACACAATTACCATAACTGCGCTTTCACATACAGTGTCACATTAACTGTCAGCAAGCCGCTGAAAACTAACACATTACTGCCATTATAAACTAACAAACAATTCTACAGAAAGCATTCAATAAAAGCAGCTCAAGCAATGTTTAGCAGTCCGTGTTCAGAACAGTTACAGAGGCGGTGAAGTGAAACCCACACTACCCTACCTCGGTCTGACCTCCAGTCTTTGTATACTGATCAGCGGAATATAAACCTCCCAGAAGTCAAGAAGGTATTAGCATGCGTACGACTGCCACTTTTAATTATATGAAAAACGTGATAAAAGTTCCTTAAAGAAAAAAACTTGTTCTATTGCATTAACGGCAAAACAGCGTACCTAGAATTTCAGAGAGACATCCTTGTGACAAAACGGACTAGTTACTAATTAATATTCAAAAATTAATGGGGCATTTCTTACTTTCCTACACATTCAGCGAGCTTTAGGTTGAGCCTATCTTCATGCAGTACGGTGAGGGATTCGTCACCGCGGATTTCTACAGACAGGGATAAAAGTCAGAGATGATCTTCCTGAACAAACAACGGCAGCATTACAACGGAAATTCACTATCGGGATGGGTTCAACATTAAAACTAAAGCAACATGCTACTCCTTGGCCATGAATTGAATACCTAAACATAAAACAAAGATTTTAAAATTTTACTTAATAGTGCACGGATTTCGTTACCGATGTCCTTTGGACCGATTGAAACAGAAAATGAACTTGTTTCGGCATTGTAGCGCAGTCACAATGGTTATTACTTTCCAAACGATGATCAACTGTTGACAGCGTCTCATCGTTCAGTTAGCAAAGTAAGATTTAGTC